AACATCCAAGCAAATCAAGAAGCTAGTGAATGGAAACTATACTAAACCTAAGTTAGTAGAATGTAGAGAGGCCCGTTATTTCAAAATATTTGTAAAATACACATTTTTATAAATATGGCCAATTACTAAGGCAAAAAGCATAAGTAAACAGTTTGAGTTAAATGAAATTATACAAAATATACATGCTGCTGTCAACCCAGGAAACCCTAGGCAGACTTATGCTAATCTCTCCTCTGGTTCTTAACTACACTGTAATTGACTTACATAAATGCAATTCTGCCTCCTGGGGTCCAGGGTATTTTGGGCCCTGGTCTGGGCACAAAGCTTGAATAAAGTGGTGCATCCTCAAGGTGACAGAGGAAGAGCTCAGGCTAATTCAAGTCAAAGGTAAATATCCTCAGGGTATACTGAGGGAATCCCTACCCTGAGGCAAGGATGCAGATATGAAGCACCCTCACTTCTGTCTCTGAGCTTTCAGAGAGGCCAAGGTCTTCATCTCAGGGGCAACTCCAAAGCAGCAAAGAGAACCAGCCACAGAAGGCATTGTCTCAGGCTCAAACACAATTCAAGGTGAGGATCCTCTACTCCAGAAAAAAAAGTACACCACAGAATCCAAATTCCTCCTCTCTCAGGGAGAGGAAGAGCCCAGGCTGGAGGAACAATCCCCAGCCTATGAAAATTTCTCATTTCTGACTTGACAATTTCAGGGAATGGAGGGGCTTGCACTTAGGGCTGAGATCAGATAAAAGCAAGCAGAAATATCTCATCAGCAGAGGTTGGCTTCTCAGAATCCTCCAGGAGTCAAGGTAAGAGATTTTGGTTAAAAAAAAAGGTATCCCATTCCAGAATACAAAGAGAACCTCAGAGATGTGTCCACTGTGGCCTTACTCTCAGGTCAGGAGCCTCTGGGCAGAGCTGTCAGCCAGGGCTTCATATCTGGCTAGAAGTCTGACAGAGAAGAGACAACCCAAGGAGACTGGGACCTGGACCCAAGGAGGCTGGACTCAGGGTAGCAGGGCTAGCCCAAGGCCTGAACTAGGATTCCAGCCCTGCCGGGTGTCTAGGTGACAAAAGATGGAACCCCTTCACCTGAACACACAGAACCCTAGCTCTAGCCTGTCTCTTCTCAGACACTCACGGACTCAAGGTGCGTCTATTTTCCTATAAAGGACTCAGTTTATTCTTGTGTATGGCTGAGTAGTACTCTATTGTGTATATATACATTTTTTTATCCAATCATCTATTTTTTTGTCTTTTTGAGAAAGGGTCTCACTATGTAGTTCAGGCTGGCCTTGAACTCACTTTGTAGACCAAGCTGGCCTTGAACGCAAAGCAGCCCTCCTGCCTCAGCCTCCCTAGTGCTGAGATTACAGGCATGCACCAGCTTGCCGAGCCCATTCATCCACTGATGAGTATAAAGGCCACTTCTAAGATTTGCCTATTATGAGTTGTGCTGCTATAAAAATGGGTATGCACATATCACTGTAATGATGTCTTTAAGTCCATTGGGAAAAGGTATAACTAAGTGAAATTTGTACTTTTAGTTTTCTGAAGACTTTCCATACTAATTTACATACTGGTTGTACTAGGTTACAGTCCCACAAACAATGTTAAAGGATTCGTTTTTCCCCACATCCTCACCACTATTTGTTGTTTTCTGAGTTCCTTATGACAGCCATTCTTTCTGGAGTGAGATGGAATCTTGATGATATTTTGATTTGCATGTCTGTCTGTAATGGCAAACAAATCAGAAAAGAAATTAAAAAGTTCCTAGAATCAAATGACAATGGAAGCACAATATGCAAAACCTATGGGACTAAAAATAAATAAATAAATAAATAAATA